TCTCGATGAAGATGAAGACAGTGATGAAGGGATCAGGAAAATCTGGATGAGGTGAGGATGATTCGCACAGAAGCCTGATGGATGCCAACCCTCCTTTTCATTTTCTTATTTTTTCATTTTCTCCAGTCCCCGGGAGCAAGTCACAGTCATTTCCCTCCCCTCCAATCCCTCTTGTGCTAAGTCACCCTGTTTTTGAGATCTCCCTTCTCAAATCCATGGTTCTCAACTTATTTGGGGGGAAATACCTTGAGCAAAATATTACGGGAAAAGGAAAAAAAAAAAAAAGAAACCACAAACTGAGGGAATTCTGGAAACGAAAAATTTAAGAATTCAAGCAGGAAGCACAGAGAGAAAGCTTTACCAACAGAATATGAGAGATATGGGAGGCACCAGGTGGTGGTGGCACACACCTTTAATCTCAGAACGTGGGAGGCAGAAACAGGTGGATCTCTGTGAGTTTGAGGCCAGGTTGCTCTACAGAGTGAGTTTCAGGGCAGGCTCCAAAGCTATATAGAAACCCTGTCTTGAAAAACAGGGGGGAATCTTAGGCATTGAAAATATGACAGAACTGGGTGGTAGTGGTGCACGCTTTTAATCCCAGCACTCAGGAGGCAGAGGCAGGCAGATCTCTGTGAGTTTGAGACAAGCCTGGTCTACAAGAGCTAGTTCCAGGACAGCCTTCAAAGCCTCAGAGAAACCCTGTCTGGACCCTCCCCCTCAAAAAAGAAAATATGATAGAACAATTAGATACATCAGTTAAACAAAATATTAAATCTTAAAAGCTCCTGGCAGAAAACATCCAGGAGATCTGGAACACCATGAAAAGTCCAAACCTAAGAATAATAGGAATATAGAAGGAGAAGAAACCCAGGTCAAAGGCCCAGAAAAATGTTTTCAACAAAATTATAGAAGAAAACTGTTTTAACCTAAAGAAGGTGATGTATATAACAGTGCAAGAAGCATACAGAACACCAAATAAAAGAAAGTCCCTCACCACATAATAATCAAAGCATCAAACATGCAATACAACTACAAGAATATTAAAAGCTACAAAGGAAAATAACAAGTAACATATAAAGGCAGATCTATTAGAATTACATCTGACTTCTCCATGGAGACTCTAGAAGCCAGAAGGGCCTTGACAAATGTTTTGCAGACTCTGAGAGACCACAGATGCCAACTCAGATGCCAACTGTATCCAGCAAAAGTTCAATCACCATAGATGGAGAAAACGTGTTCCAAAGTAAAGCAGTATTTAAACAGTATCTATTTACCAAACCAGCCCTACAGAGTTGAAAGAAGGAAAACTCCAACCTAAGGACGCTAACTACACCCATGGAAACACAAGAGCAGGAGGTAGAGGCAGGTGGATCTCTGTGAGTTCTAGGCCAGCCTGGTAACAGAGCTAGTTCCAGGATAGCAGAGTTGTTACACAAAGAAACCCTGTTTTGAAAAACCCAAAAGGATAAACCAAAAAAGAATCAATAATCATTGGCCATTGATATCTCTCAGCATCAATGGTCTCAATTTCCTAATAATAAGACACAGACTAACAGGATCCATCCTTCTGCTACATCCTAGAATAACCACCTAAAAGTCAATCATGGGTTAGAAAAAGACATACCAAGAAAGTGGACCTAAGAAGCAAGCTGGCATACCCATTTGAATATCTAACAAAATAGACTTCAAACCAAAACTAATTAGAAGACATAAGGAATGACAGTATATGCTCATCAAAGGGAAAACCCACCAAAGGCATTTCAGTTCTTTTAAAGTTAAAAACTTCCTTTTTATTTAGACTGAAAAGAGATGATGAGGGAATCTCTCTTCCTTGCCAACTGAACCTAATGACTGAGAAGTTGGGCCTGATTGGGAATCACCCATTCCTCCTGCTGGGAACCTTTCCTTCCTCTTAAAACCCCCCATGTCTTTTATTTCACCTTCGTCCCAAGGCCCAATTTAGGGAAAGCACCAGGTCAGCTGGACTCCATTTGATTGAAGTCACTGACTAGCCACTTGTCACCAGAGGTCCTTTATTTTATGGCTCTCTGGCGCATGGTGGCAAGGAGGGTAGAAACTACCTTATGTCATCTTCTAAGCATCACTCACAAACTCAATGCCAGGGAAATCAGACTCCCTTCAGCTTGTGAAGGGAGTCCAGCCAGGTTATAGACATCTCTCTCTGGGTAGGAAGGTCCTCAGTGTGTCAGCCTTTACCTTAAAAATCTGAAGGTAAAGACAGGAAGAAGAGGGCAAGAGAGGCTGACAGGCTCAATGACAGATTTCAACTTGACCCTACTTGCCATCTGCGATCATGAAAGGCAATCAACACACCCAGAGTCCATTTACATCTAAGCTACATTCGAATGGCCCTAGACATTCAGTTCTCAACTCTTTTTGTCTTTCTGGCTGAGATCCCTGTAAACATAATAAGATGTTTATGTTTACATAAGTAAACATGTAAGATTTTTACTTATAAATAAGTAAGATGTAAGATTTAGGAAACTTATGTATGGTCTCCAAATTTACCCATAAACCGAAAAATATATGGCTGTTGTTTTCTGCCACTAATTTGGAATTGCTCATTACATAGAACATATAGGCAAACAATAATTTCCTACGTTGCAGGTTGCATCTTCTGATCCAAAATTCTCCTGTATTCATATTTTCCATCTCTTGACCACTCCTGGCTCCTCACCTTCGGAGAGGCCCATCTTAGTGTTATGGATCCAGAAAAATGAGATTCTTAGGTTTTGATCTCTAATCCAAACACTTGTTTCATACATGATAGGCAATAACATGGAGTAGTTTACTAGCTAACACACCTTTGGACACAGTTTAGTCCATTTCAGAAATACTAACACACTGTAGTGGGTTGCTGAAGCAATGAAACACCCCATGGCAATAACTGTACTGTGACTGACCTATGCCTCCTCATAGCCCTTTTCTCACGTACTCGACTTTACAGAATATTTGCATTTTGGTCCTGTCTCAGACTCATATTTGCTTTAGAGAAAGGTGAGGCATTCACCCAAGAGGGAATGAATATACAAGCACTATAGGTTAGATTCTAAGTGCTCTGGTGTGTGTGTGTGTGTGTGTGTGTGTGTGTGTGTGTGTGTGTGTGTGTGTATGTGTGTATTTGTGTATGTGTGTCTGTTTGATCATGCACACATGTACTGGAGTTGCACTTGGCTTCATATATGCAAAGCACATGCTTAATCACTGGGCCACAACCCCAGCTCTAGAATGTTTGCAAATGATTTATTTATTATGTTTACAGTGATCTGCCTACGTGTTTGCCTACAGGCTAGAAGAGGGCATAAGATCTCATTATAGATGTTTGTGAGTCACCATGTGGTTGCTGGGAATTGAACTCAGGACTTCTGGAAGAACAGTCACTGCTCTTAACCTCTGAGCCATTTCTCCAACCCTAGAATGTTTGCAAATATTATAAAGAACTTAGAAGAGCAATGTGGAAGCATGGAGAAAAGGATGAAGTGGTCTGTATGTCATCTGGAGTTTCTTGTCGAACAGTATTTTGTATTATTTGGAAAATTCACACAATGCACACTCACTTCTCAGGTTTGTCTCCCACCCTCAAGAACCCTCCCCCCAAAGGAAACAAAAATTCCAAAAAACAAAGCAAGTCCAATTTGTGTTGTTCATATACTCACTGGAGAATAAAAAACATATCTGTTTTAATTCTGTGTGCCTGTATGGGTATATACAAGTTTAGGTGCCAAGGTGTTCGATGGCCCTGGAGCTGGAGTTATAGGTAGATTTGAATCTCCAAAGGTGGATGCTAGGAACCAGTCTACACAAGAAGAACTTTTAACCATCGAGCCATCTCCCCAACTCCCAAAAGAGTTGGTATAGTTTATTTAGTGGGACTGTACACCATGGCATACAGTGGACCACCTGCAAGGAGCAGTTCTCTCTCTCCACATGTGGGTACTAGAGACTAAACTCAGGTCAGGAGGCTTGGTGGTGGGCACCCTTTACCAGATGAGCCCTATGGCTAGTGAGAATTTTTTGAAAAAAAGTTTGAAAGTGGGCATCAATCACATGCCATGGCGTTGCCAGTGTTCGTTGTTGAACATATCAAGGAGCAATTAGCTGAGGAAACTCCTCTCCCTTGTAAAGCCTGAGGATATGCCCATGTATCTCTGGATTCACTATAAACTTCTGGGCCTCCAATGATTCCTGAAGATTTCCTGCCATCTGTACACTGAACCATTTCATCACAGAGACCTAAAGAGAGAAATGATTTGTTTGCCCAACTCACCTGGGACCTGGGGCCCAAGGACTCCATCCATCTTTGAATAGAGCTGCTAGAACTGTTTGATAAGACTTTGTTTTAATGTTGCTCATTAAGAATGAACATATTCATGGGGCTGGAGAGATGGCTCAGAGGTTAAGAGCACCAGCTGCTCTTCCAGAGGTCCTGAGTTCAATTCCCAGCAACCACATGGTGGCTCACAGCCATCCGTTATGAGATCTGGTGCCCTCTTCTGGTGTGCATATAGACATGGAAGCAGAATGTTGTATACATAATAAATAAATAAAATATTTAAAAAAAGAATCAACATATTCTTAATTCAGCAGGTGTACTGGGGTTCTCTAGTACCAGATGTGAGTATTTGTCCCCTCATACACACAGATTTATTAGAATGACTTACAGGCTGTGGTCCAGCTAGTCTAACACTGGATGTCTACCAATGGAAGGTCCAAGAATCAATTCGTTGCTCAGTTCACAAGGCTTGGTGTCCAGCCAGTTTCAGTACATCCCAGAATGTCTAGTGCCGGTGAAAAATGGACTAGCTAAGAATAGAGCAAGTTTCCTCCTCCCTTGTCATATATATAGGCTGCCAGTAGGAGTGGCCCAGATTAAAAGTAAATAGATCTCTCCACCTCAAAAGATTTAAGAAAATATTCTTCACAGATGTACCCAGCTGCTTGTTTTTGTTAAACAACAATAGCCATGACAGCAGGAAACACACATTTCAAACCAATTAGTTTATTTAATAATCTACACATTCTTTTGGATTTTGACACACACGACCCTGTGTATAATTATCAGTGCAGTTTTTGGTAATTGTCTTTTTAAACTTAGGACCACTTTCAGCTTTTGTATTTTAGTGACTAAATGAACTAATTAAGAACTCCCTGGCCGGGCGTTGGTGGCACATGCCTTTAAACCTAGCACTCGGGAGGCAGAGGCAGCCACATCTCTGTGAATTCCAGACCAACCTGGTCTACAAGAGCAGGACAGCCTCCAAAGCCACAGAGAAACCCTGTCTCGAAAAAGCAAAACAAAAACAAAAACAAAAACAAAAACAAAAAACCAAAACTCCCTGACAGTTTCACTCCTGCTTGCTGGGCAGTGTCCTGAGCTGTCCTTCAGGTGTGGGATGTCCTTACTTAGTCTGTAGAGTGCATCCCAAAGCTGAAAAGGCAGTGGTTTGAAAGGCACTAGGACTGCGATTTGGTCTGCTTCTTGAAGTTTATCCTGTGTGTTTTCTGATGCCCAACAAGGTGTGAACTCTGGGTGAAAGCCTTCCCACACTTGGTGCACACATACGGGCGCTCCCCTGTGTGAGTTCTCTGATGCCTGGTGAGGTGTGAGCTCTGGCGGAAGGCTTTCCCACAGTTCTGGCAATGGTAGGGTCTAGCCCCAGTATGAGTTCTCAGGTGCTGAGCGATGGCTGAACGGTCATTGAAGGCCCTCCCACACTCTGAACACTCAAATGGTCTCTCTCCACTGTGAATTCTATAATGCTGGGTGAGGGAGGAGCTCTGAACAAAAGCTTTACCGCAGACGGTACACATGTAAGGCTTCTCTCCCGTGTGGATCTTTTTATGGACCGAGAAATACCTAGCATTCTGGAACAGTTTACCACATTCACTGCAGCGGCAAACTTGGCTCCCCTTGTGAATTTTTATAAAAAATATCTGCCGAGATTGCTGGCTGGTGGCTTTGTTGCAATTGTTGGCTTTCCTTGCAGTGGCCCCTTCGGGACCCCTGTGGGGACTGTATTTAATGGAAGTGTTCATTTCACTGCCTTTCCCTCTTTCCGAGGCCTTTGGGCGAATTTTTATATAGGGAGTGTGCTTTAAGGAAGTACTAATTTCCTCAACTCTCCCACTAGAGTTAGAACCCTTCTGGTTAGCTCTTCCATGTTTCAAGGAATTCCTCCTTCCCTGGACTTTACCACCCACACAGCCTTTCTGGAGAATTCTTACAGGTGAAGCCTGTGTCAAGGAACAGTTCCTGTCCCTGGATCTTCCTACCTCAGCCCCCATCAGGTGATTCGGTATAGATGAACCTTGTGCCAGGGCATTGCTGCTTTCCCCACTTTTATCCCTTCTAGGAACTTTCTTGTGAATCTTTACATTTGCATCCAGTGTCGTGACATTGTTATTGTCCCTGACTTTACCCCTTTCAGAGCCAGTGGCTTTTTGGTTAATTTTTGCAGGTTCTAGAAGTATAATGGCATCTTTGCTGTCCCTAGCTTCACTCTGCTCAGAACCCTGTTCGTGGTTTTGTATAGAACCATGTACCCTGGAATTGCTGTCATCTCTGATTTGCCACCCGTCATAGTCCTTCTGCTTATTTCTTATGGGTGAGTCTCGTGGAATGGAAGTGTTTTTTTCCTTGGCTTTCCTCTTTCCAAAGCCCTTCTGGTTAATTTTCACATTCAAGTGCTTTCTAAAAAGAACTGCATCAACTGAGCGCTGGCTTGTGCGCAGCTTACTTTGCCCCTGAGATGTGGAGCTTTCAGAGAGGTCGTGAAGGAGGCCTGTTTCCTGTACAGTTTCCACCTGACTTGATTTTATGGTATGGATTCCTTGGACCTCATCTTCTGAGATACATTCAGAGACAGTAAATTTGGTATCATTCCTTGAGAAATGTTTTGATTTTGGGACGCAAATTGGTTCTAGCACAGAACTGGAAGATTCCTGAGTTAACTCTTGTTTTCCCGATGTAGGCTTCCACCCTGAAAGGAACCAAACGATCGGTATACTGTCGTTAAAAGTGCCAGAATGACAATGAAACAAATTGTATTATAAAATGAGGTTACATCCTCTCCTCAAATAGTCATTCAGTGTACGGAATGACAGACACACTGTTTAGCAGCAAAACCAGGAATAATCGATTTGGTGACCAAGATATTGGGGTAAGAGCAAAGGGTGTTTCCCTTTCCCCACAGCCAAAACAAACCTCAGGCTGTCTCTGTGCACTCAAGGTTCCATACCCAAACAGGGTCACAGTTCTAGATAAAGATCCCTGACCGAATAAGAGACCCTCTCTATCCTTACAATGGGTAGAGCCAAAGTACGAGACCTGAGGGGATCCTTGGCTTCTCAATGTAGACATGATCTTACCCACAGAGACCAAGTTGCCCAAGGTCTCCAGCATCACATCACGATACTCAGTCTTCTGCATCCGACCTAGTAGCTGCCACTCATCCTGACTGAAGTCCACAGCCACATCCTGGAAGGTCACTGGCTCCTGTAATGTGGTAAAAGTCTGGTGTTTATCAATGGGGGCAGAAGAAAGGACACTGGACATTATACCACATAGGGACTCCTCTGCTTTGGTGGTTTGCTCAGAGACAATGACTTCTCAAGCCCAAAGAGATCGACAGTGTACTTCTCTAAACAAAAGTCTGGGCCCCAAGCTGGTAGACAGAGCCCCTGATTGACAAAGACCTACAAGTGTAATAAGCAAGCCACGTCAATCATACTAGCATCTGTATCAAGGCTGCACCTTAAGGGCAGCATCTTACCAGAGGACCTTCTTCCTCTAGGACAGCCTTGTCCTCTAGGGTAAAACCCACAATGAAGATGTCTGCCTGTGAGACAGGTCTGACCTATGTGGAGTATTCACCTATGCTATTGCAGTTTTCATGAGCCCCTAAAGATTCTTAAAAAAAAAGAAGACTCTTCCACTGCACCAACTTGCCTTTTGCCCAGATGGAGAAAAGCCTACCATAGAAGGAATAGAATTCTAAGCAGAAGGTCTGGTATTAATCAATCAGTTTCTTTCCATTGCCACTCAGTAGCCTTATTTGAAGCCTGCTCTAAACTGCTCATTATATGAGAACCAACAATTTCAATGCCTGATGCAGGATAAACCACCAACAGGGCGAACAGCACTAACTATTGCCATATATACACCACATCATATAGCCGACAGGCTAATCTTGCTGTATGCACAGCGCCTTAGTTTGGTCCAGACAGATCTGAGATGTGCTGTTCCATTCCTAATTCCCCAGCTGAGTGTTTCTGAAGGACAAGGGCTCTCTCATTCTAACCGGGTACAATGTGGTTCATATAGGCTGCCTTAGTTGCTCTGCTTCTCATGTTCACCAGCTTTGGGCCACTTACTCCTGCCTTTTCCTTTCTCTATGGCCAGGTTGCAATGTCAGGTGGCAGGGTTACTCTTGACACTTTGGTTGTTGCAGAACTCCACTCAGTCCAAAGAACTCAGAAGGTTAAAACTGCCTATCTTGTGTGAAGGCTCAGCAAGTTTCAGGGTAGAAGGGGGCATATTTGGGTTGGGCCCCTTATGACCAAAGGCACAAAAGGTAAGGATTTTGCTTACCTCAGGTGGTACAGTAACTGGTAAGGTGGCCATGTCCTTGTTTTTCTCTTTCAGTCGATCAGTGGCCTCCTTATGGCAAGCAGGCAGAGCTGGAGAAGATGACACATGAAGGGATCAATGGTAGCCCTCAGGCAGGCAGAACTGCCAGGCTCTGCAATCCCTGAGCCATGCATATCCAAGTCCCTTCACAGTCTATGCTGACCTCTTCACAAGGAGGAACCAATTCCTTTACCTGGAAGGGCCCAGACTGTCACCCTGCATGGACCACTGAGGGACTGGGGTTTCCAGGATTGAAACCTTTTGTCCCCTTCCCCCTCCAGCATCACTTTCAAGCCCTAGTTTCCGAGGCAATGGCTTCCTCATACTTTCTTCTTAGAGGGAAAGTTGGTTTCTAGTCTGCAAGCCCTTAACATGGGTGAGTGGTTCCCCTTCCCTTCCTTTCAGACACAGGGAAGAATCCATTCTTTGCCTTCTCAACTTCTATAAGCATTCTTAGCTCATGGCCTCTGGGCACATCCATCCTGCATCCTTTCTTTACCACTCTAGACATCACGGCTATCAGTGACAGAAACAGCATCCATACACTCTACCAGTACCCTGACCTTTCCACCACCTTAGTATTGTCACTTGTGTATTCAATAGTCATGTGACATCTTTTCTGAAGCACCACAGGCTCAGTGAACTTGAGTCGTGCCTCATAGCCCCTACAAAGAACTGGAAGGCTGGCTATGTGTCAGGGATCCCAAGAGAATGGAAAAAAACAAAAAACAAAGAACAAAACAAAGAAACAAAATAGAGCACTGCATCTGTGAGCTTCCACCGAAGCCCATGGAAGGTTTTCATTTGAGAGAACAGGCCTGGAGCCCCAGCCACTTCAGGTCTGCATTAGCTCTGACCTGCTAGTGTGTGGCAGACACAGATGTCTGTGGTCTGGAGTGGGACCAACCCTCCAGCACTCCACAATCCTCCATAAAGTCTTCCCAGAGATGTTTCTCACCCCCACCCTTCCATGGCACTCACCACCTTCCTTAGACACCGAGGTTACATTCTCCACCAGGGCCACGGCTGCCTGGCAGTCCTCTGGGTGGTGTGATTCTACCCACACCCGCAACTTCTCAGGCAGCGCACTCAGGAACTGCTCAAGCACCAGCAACTCCAGGATCCAGTTCTTTGAATGTATATTGGGCTGCAGCCACCGGTGACACAGCTCCCGAAGCTGAGACACTGCTTGCTGGGGATCATCTGACTCTTCATACTGGAAATGGCGGAACTTCTGGTGAGCGACTTCACTGTCAGTCAAATGCGTGCCTGGTTGTTGAACTGACTTGAGGTCATCAGGGCTCAGGTCTTCTCCACTTTCACTATAGAGGGATTGAATAAGAGCATTCCGGGGACCAGCCACATCCTTGTTCAGTGTAAGGACCTCAACAACCTTGATCTTCATCAAGGGATTCTCATCAGGAGAGGATTTTATTCCATCATCTAGAGAAGGCTCAGAAGATCCTGTAAGTGAAAACCAGAGCAGGTGTCAAGAGAAGGCCCAGAAGATCCTGTAAATGAAAACCAGAGCAAAAGCTTGGCAGGGTGGCACACGCCTATAATTGCTATACTTGAGAGACAGGGGAAAGAGGGGATGCCTGCAAGCAAGGGTCTAGCCAAGTCTACATATTCAATTCTAGGCCAATCAGATTGACAAAGACAGATTCATCTATAAAACAAAATAAAAACAGGGCTGGGTCTGTAGCTTAGTTGATAGAAAATTACCTAGCAGGGGCTGGAGAAATCACTGAGAGACTAAGACCACTGGCTGCTCTTCCCAATGTCCTGAGTTCAATTCCTAGCAAGCAAATTGTGGCTCACAACCATCCATAATGATATCTGGTGCTCTCTTCTGGCCTGAAGGGATACATGCAGACAGAACACTGTACACATAATAAAAAAAAATCTTTAAAAAAAAGGAAATTGGGCTGGAGAGATGGCTCTGGGGTTAAGAGCACCTCTGTTCTTCCAGAGGTTCTGAGTTCAATTCCCAGCAACTACATGGTGGCTCACAACCATCTGTAATGTGATCTGGTGCCCTCTTCTGGCATGAATTGTATAAATGACAAATAAATAAATAAAATTTAAAAACTATTATAAAAAATAAAAAAAATAGGGGGCTGGAGAGATGGCTCAGAGGTTAAGAGCGCCGACTGCTCTTCCAGAGGTCCTGAGTTCAATTCCCAGCAACCACATGGTGGCTCACAACCATCCATTATGAGATCTGGTGCCCTCTTCTGGTGTGCAGATATACACGGAAGCAGAATGTTGTATACATAATAAATAAATAAAATCTTAAAAAAAAATAAAAAAATAAAAAAAATAAAAAAAGGAAATTACCCAGCATTTGGGAAGTCCTGGGCTCAATTCCTCAGCAATGTGTTAAAACCAGGCAATGCAATGCACACCTTTAACCTCAGCATGATGGGGATATAGGTAGGAGGAAGTTCAAGGTCAAGCTTGGATACATAGCAAGGTGAGGCCAGCACGGAATACTTGAAACCTAGTTCCACATACATGTTTAAAGGAACACAAATATTGTTTTACTCAGCATGTAAGGAGCTGGCTCATTCTTATATATACAAAGTCTTATAATTAAGTTACATGCATTTCCATCGATGCTAAAATACTCAATAAAATATTGGCCAACCGAATCCAAGA